ATAGCGCTATTTTTGCCCGCCAGCTGCAAAAATCGCATGATTTTTGGCCGCTAGCGGCGAAAATCGCCCCATTTTTGGTCGCTAGCGGCGAAAATAGCCCCTTTTTTGGCCGCTAGCGGCGAAAATAGCCCCTTTTTTGGCAGGTAACGGCGAAATTCGAGCGATTTTTGCCCGCCAGCTGCAAAAATCGCATGGTTTTTGTGCAAAATAGCGTGGTTTTCGGCCGTTAGCGGCAAAGACTTGTCCCTTCTTAACTTAAATAACTGCTTTGGTCATCTGCAATCTTTCTAGGTGGGTAACAATGACTCTTGAGGCCAGAAAGGACTTATCAGACAGCGATCATAACAATACGGTACACACACAAAATCACAACCTGATATACACCAAGCAGAAAATCCACTGGAGCTGTGAGGCGACATAAACCCTTGCCCAAGGCACTGGCAGCTGCATACTCTACCACAGTATATTACTGACTTTGTAAAAGTCTTACAACCGGATTTCCCCATAAATCACAGCAAGTTTTGAGGCCACTCCTTGAGTCAACGTCTTACGTAAGACCTACAAGCACTCAGGTGAAGGCTGAAGCAGTTCAACACCATACGCCCCAACTTCAAATACACAGTTGAGAGGCGGGACCAAAACGTGATTTTCTGTGTGTGCCTGAAGTTGGGGCAAACGGTCTTGCTTCACCCTCCACTTTACCCTTCACCGGCGTACTTCAGGGGTTTTATTTAATACTTGGACTGGCTTCAGTAGGGCCTCCAGACTTTCTGTGGCTTCACAAGTGTCATGTGAATCCCCTGCATAGCAGTGGAACTGCCTTTTCCTTCACCTTCAATGCCTCTGCACTGGAAGTATACATCTACACCAGCCCAGAAGAGTCATCAGTCCTGCCACCTCTCCATACCCCCCAGGGCCTGGCACGGCCTGGTACGACTCAGAGGCAAGCCGGGCGCCACTGCTAACTGGCAGTTTGTCCCCACAAACAAGCAGTTAGCCGCCTTCAACTGACAGTGGTACAGCTCAACACAAAGGCACCGCCAGCCACAATGAGCAGTTTGCTAGTTGACCAGATGTCCACCTCGTGTTGACACTGGATGAGTCATCACCGCTGGACTATATAAAGAGCGCTGCCTCCCTGGAGACTACGGGCTCTCCATAGCCCGTGCTACTTGGAACATTTTGTTCCAGGTAGCGAATCTTTAACAACCCTGGAGAGGCAATCTCTTCCTTAGTGCTCTAGGATCACCTTCGTGTCTCTAACCCATCGTCCGCTTCCAGCCAACGTCGTGTGACTGATGCCATGGTGGTATGGTAGCTGTCTTCAGAACACCAGTATATCTTCATACTTTTATTCATTGCTTATAGTTTAGTTTTTGCATTTAAGGTCATACTAACTTGTTCACCTTTGCATTACATGATAGTCAAGTATTGTCATGTGTTATTTTTGTTCATTACTATTTCAGTAAATTGTTTACTTATTTATTTGATAATTTTCATTTGTTTCCACCTGCAACTTACACACTGCAAGGCCAATAGCAGCATTTCTTTCATTTATGTGAGAAAGAGCCATACCATCTTGGTTCAGTATAGCTGTGATACCATAACCCGTCACACAAGATATCCAGTTGTAAGACTTACCATCAGTGGTGGTAGAGTATGCAACTGGCAATGCCTTTGTTACAGGTTCGCTTCATCTCACAGCCCCAGTGGATTTTCTCACACATTTGAATACATGAAACAACTTTATTTGATACATTCCAAACCAAAGTACTGTACAGTACAGTAATTATCAAACCATCAAATGTGTGGGATAATCATAGTGCGCTAAATATCACTAACGTCGCCAATACAAGAACAAAAACGCATACGGCGAACAATATCAAAGGTATTGAATTTACCAAGAATTTTATCGAGGGACAATTGACAGTGAGGGATGGTCGGGAAGCAAGACACGTAAGTCCTGGAAGTCAGGACATGTAGAGACAACGGTTTGGACAATAAGAAGCAGGGCAGCGCTCCATTAAGTGCCCGTGAGTTAAACGTGTATGACCAATATACAACCTCGCCAGAGCCGTTTCTCACCACCGGTTACGGTGGTAGGAGGAAGGCCACGGGAACACACTACTCTTAAGAGCACGCAGTTTGTTACCAGTAACAGAAGACCAACAACCCTGACAACGGGCAAGAATGGGGAAATGAATAACTGGGTAAAAGTCATAATAAGGAATACCTTTACGGGAGATGGGACAGGTGCGGATAGCTTCCTTAGCGGCAGTGTCCGCACGCTCATTTAAGAACACACCAATATGGGTGGGAATCCAGCGAAATTCCACTGTCTTAAATCTACTGGAGATAAGAAACAGCCAATGTTGAATTTCAACTACCAAAGGATGGACTGGATTAAAGGATTCTAGAGCCATGAGGGCACTGCAAGTGTCAACTACAAACACAGAGGAGGATTGACAGCGAGAAAAGAGTTGATGAAGAGCATAGAGAATAGCATAAAGTTCTGCCATGAAGATGCTAGTCTCCGGAGGCAGGAGACACAAAGGTGCAGTCAGGAAAAACAACAGAGTAGCCTACACCGTCTGCAGACTTAAGACCCATTGGTGAAGACGAAAATAGAGTGGAAGTGTGAAGAAAAGTGTTCAAGGAAAAGGTGATTTAGAACTGTAGGAGGGGTAAAAGTTTTAGTCATGTGGGTCAAGGCTTACAGAATTTAGGAACGGGGACCCCTCCATAGGGGCAAAGACGGAATGACACGAGGGGAAATATTGGTAACACAAACTGAAAGAGCATTTTGTAAGAGAGACAACCGTACAGAAAGAGATAGGTGGTGAAGGGGAACAGGAACCACAGGATGGGTAAAGGTCAAGGCATGACATAAGCAAGAGTGAGGGTGCTGTAAGGACCGTGCAAGGTGGAGAAGACAGTAGCGATCATGGCGATCCTGTAGAAACAGGACACCAGTTTCAACATACAGGCTTAGGGTAGGTGTCGAAGGAAAGGTACCAGAGCTGAGCCGTAACCCAGTATGATGCAGTGTGTCCAGATGGTGAAGGGTAGAAGGAGAAGCAGACGAGTAAACAGGGCCATAATCGAGTTTAGACAGAACGAGAGAGGAATGTAAAGAGAGGAGCAGTGTCGATTAGCTCCCCAAGAAGTATGGGACATGACCTAAAGTTAGTTAAGGGCCTTAGAGCATTCAACTCGGACGTAAAAAATATGGGGCGACAAAGACAAACGAGTGTCAAAGATTAGCCCTAAAAGCTTTAGCAGATTCTTTGTACAAAAGGGGATTACCCCTGTTACCTAACAGTAAATAGGTATCTGGGAGTTAGCTGTTACAGGCTGCTTCCTAGGGGGGGTGCGTGTGTGGGAGAAAAAAAAATTTAGTAGTTAACCACTGAACTGCTCTGTCTCCAAATAACACCCTGGTGCACAAGAAATAAATTCTTTCCAAAAATTTTTTTTCTCTTCTTATATTGTTAAAATGCAGAGTCTGATCACGGGGAAACTAAACAAAAAATATTGTATGTGACTTACTTTAGCTGCGATGGAGCTGGGAAGTTGAGCAAATTATGGGCGCTGAGCGTTGGAGCGATGGGGGTCTGTCGGCCCCGCCACCCCGTGCGACGGCAGTTGCTGCGAATAAAATGTTGCGCAATTATTTTGAAGTTTCTCATTCATTTCTCTTTTTTTTTTTGCTGTAATATTATTTAAAAGTGTGTAATTTGTGGAATTTATATAATTCAAAGTATAGAACATCGCTATGCTCAAAATTATGGGCCTCATATATGCGACATATTCTACAATCAAACAGTGTTTTTGCTGTTATTACACTATATACACACATTGTATATACCCATCTACATATGTATTCACCATAACGATCCACTATGTTGGTATGGTGAGCCCAAAAAACATGAGTGAGCTGCCACACCCTGCCAGTCCTCCCTCCCTCCTCCAACACATTACTCGCCAACATTCCTCCTCCCAAAATACTGTTATTGTGTTTATTACACTATTTACACACGTTATGTATAAGTATGTACATGTTTTATTCATGTACATACGTACATACTTGCCATCTCCTCACCTCTCTCTCTTGCCTACTTAATGCTCTTGCTTCCCTCATCTCATCACAATCGACTTTATAATGGTCCAGGACGGATCGAAATGTCGTCGTCTATTCAATTTCCAGTGTGTGGTTTGGTCAACAATGAAATCTTCATGCAAGATCTTATAAAGAAAACCCCTAGAACGAGTTTTGCAGATACGAAAGAGTTTAAGGTGAGTAGGGGATGGTTTGAGAAATTTTGAAAAAAGACGTGCTATTCATAGTGTTGCGAGGCATGGTGAGGGTGCCAGCTCAGACAAAGTAGGGGCTGAAAGATTTGTTCGTGATTTTAAAGATTTTGTAGATACTGTATTGATGGATATATTCCACAACAAGTGTTTAAATGTGAGGAGACATGGCTATTCTGGAAAAAATTGCCGAAGAGGACATACATTACCCAAGAGGAGACGTCACTGCCCGGACACAAGCTAACTTGGGCTAACTTGTGTCAGGATAGGCTAACTCTTGTGCTGTGTGGCGATTTGAAAATTAAACCCTTGCTCGTGTATCATTCCGAAAATCCAAGTGTTTTAAAAAATATATAACGTGCAGAAAAACTGTGATGTAGAGTGGTTTGCCCTGCCATCAAAAAATATCTGCAAGAGAAAAGTTTGACACTAAAGGGCCTGCTTCTCGACAATGCTCCTGCTCATCCTCCAGACTTGGAGGATGCATTGTTGGGGCCACTTTTTTTTTTTTTAGGGATATTCCTGCATGGGCCCTAAGTTTCTGGCTAATGAACCAATGACATGAAGGAGGAGTTTTCAACCTACCTTGTGTTAGGTGTGCAGGGGTCAATAGGCTGAACATAATGTCAGGAGCAAAGGGGAACGTTTGCCTCTTCAAACACAATTGTGACCATCTTCATCTCTTCGAACTATCCTAAATGCTCTCTTCACCTGTCTGACCAAATTGGGTGTCCAGACCACCTTTGAATCTGAAATTGTAAAATTAATAGTGATTTCAGAATATTCAGTCCATTTATACTAACAAAATTATATACAGTATACTGTAATTGAAATTTTACAGAATGATAAAGGCAATTTAGTAACTTTGTTAAAATGCACATGGGGGAAATACATGAAAATAGGTTAATATGGTTTGTAAGGTTGATGGGAAATGTTTATTACTTTTATGATTTAAAAGATGTATAGCCCTGATACTCCATCCTGGGTGCATTCCACCAGGTAATGACCATAGCAAAAGTTTTCCACGAGGCTCTATTGTCACACAAACTTTTCACATTTTCAAACTTGATTCATCTTTTTCCCCCTCGTTCCAGGGGTTTTCTTTAAAAGGTCTTCATGCAAATGCCTTGGTTTCTCACAAATGATGGCCTCTGAAATGCTATCACCTGTTAACTCTTTGTTGTGTATCCAAATTAATAAAAACTTTTCAACATCCTCAAGTGTTTGTGTTCTTTGTTTCGGGATTGTTGATATGCCTTTTGCCACTTTAACGCTCATAATATCCTTTTTCTTAACAAGTACAGTGCATATTGTTGACATAGAATTGTTGTACTGCCTAGCTAGTTCAACAACCTGTGCACCGTTTTGACGTTTATGAATGCTCTCTTGTTTTTCCTCTATGGTCATTCTCACATGTGTTTTCTTGGCTTGAACCTTACCACTGGCTTTCTTGGGACTCATGGCAAGATATATAATAACAAATTTTATGTTCAAATAGCCAAAAATCCCAAAACAAATGTAATGCTTTATAAAGAATTCAGGCGCGATAGTTACTAGGCAGGAGACACTGGTAAACTGAAGTGCGATCACCATGCGTCAGTAGTTAACAGATGTAATGCATTAGGCAGTGATGTGGTGGAAGCAGACTCCATACACAGGTTCAAATGTAGATATGATAGAGCCCAGTAGGCTCAGGAATCTGTACACCAGTTGACTGACAGTTAAGAGGCGGGACCAAAGAGCCAGAGCTCAACCCCCCACAAGCACAACTAGGCGAGTACACACATATTGGAACTGTTCATTTAATGTTTCATACTTTTTTTTTTCATTCCCTCTGTATTTGTTCCCTATTTTCAATCTCTGGATTTAATCTTTTAAATGCAACTTGCTCTTAATAAATTTATAAAAAAGGCCTGGTTCTGTTTTACAGTTAATATGTGTAGCAACAATACTTAAATATAGGTACATATTTTCCTTCCAAATAAATAGCATGTAGCTGTACTGCTTTAGTAATGTTTACCCTTGAATAAACCTTCTAGTTCCAATAAAGATAGAAATGCATAATCATTTATTTGCTAATTTCATCCCTTGTTCTACTAAAGAACTAACACCTAGGGAGCAGCATCATGTAGAACCTTATCACAAGAAGGCATTTTCAAGCATTAATAACTTGAGCACTTTAAACTTTGGCACAAAATTGTGCCACTTCTGTAGCCACAGTAATTAAAAGCATGCTTGTAATAACAAACACCAATGACAGGAATGGTTGAGCACTGTGACAGTAAGCACATCAGTGTGAAAAACGAGCAGCAAGAGCTACAAAAGTGCATGCAGAAAAGAACATGGAACAACTGGGAGTATAGTGTGTCGTGATAACATTCTCCATACAGAATAAGAACAAATAGTGTACTGCACATAAATTTTAAACACTATTAAGAAAACTTACCAACATTGGCTCTCTTTTCACCATAAATCACTTTGCCATCAAATTCATCAACTGGAAATTTCATTTCTTGATCGACCTGCTGGATGGTCACTCCCAAGTGCTCTTCAATATCAGCTAGTTACTAGTGGTTCAGATAAGAAAAAGATCACTAGTGAAATAACAAGGGTGTCAGTCACAACCTAACATTTAATTCACATTATAAACAAAATATTTTGAATGCACTTCAGTGTAAAATGTGATTCTCAATGTAGTGATGGACCGAGGCTCTTGAAAGGTAATATTATACTGGTATTTTTCCATTGTATACATCTGTCACTACCCTACTATACTCATATGAACAAACACTGCCTAATCTTGCCAATTTCTTCCAATCATTAATTCTTTATTCTGGCTTTTCTAAAGCAATAAATTACTTGTGTAGAGGAGGAAATGTATATGTTTATCTCTCAGAATGTTCGGTAATACGTTTATTGCTTGTGATGTGTGTATGTATGTATTAACACGATGTACTGAACGGGGTGAGAATAGCTTGAGCTACCTCATCCCTTTGTGTGTATTTTACCTCAATAAACTTATTTCAATTTCAAAGCAATAAATGGTTCCTAAATCTAAAATATGGCATTTTATTACCAATTCACACCTACAGTAATTTTGCGTCCTAGGCACATGTAATTAAATTTATGTTTGAAAGGGTAAAGGGTGCCGTTTACACTGCAGAGAGAGAAGCCAAAGTTTATTCAGATAGCTTGAAGAATAAGATCAGTATGACACCCAGAAGCTACAGAATATCTGTAAGGAGTGATTTGAAATACAGTAAAGAGGCCTCTGAGATAATGTAATTGGCATTATTGGTGTTGCAGAAGCATGTAGATTGAAGAATTTGTGCCATGAAGAAGTTATTTACTGTTAATACATATTTTAGGAATAGGGGGACACATACACTGGGAGTTAAAGTGAGGAAAAAAGAAGAAAAAAAAGAAGAGATTCAAAATAGGAGGAAAAAACACATTCAAATTACAAAAGCTGTTAATCACCTGGTGCACTTGCATCACTAAGGGGAAGCGCCAGAGACATACAAGTACTTTACTTCCTAATCAGAATTTATCACTTTTAGGCCCTAATATTTTTTTTAATACTGTATCAGTTTTAGACTAGAGCCTTTCAAATCTTTAAGTAGGCAATGATGTTCTAAATATATCAAATGTGAAAGATAAATACGACAAAAAAATCTCTTGAGGACTAACCTGTGGTTCGTTGTACCAAACGCAACAACCACCTTCCGTTGTCAACCGCGTGTTAAAACAGTTACGCCCACGAGTTGAACACCACTCTCCATGGTACCACACCTGAAACAAGAGAAGAATATACAAAATTGATACTCTATTTTTAAATTTATCCCTTGGCCTTTAATACTGAACCTCGTGAAAGACTTATCAGGAATGTCAAGGAACGTGTTATTTCAAGGATGTTCTTCCGAAGTCTGATTAGGGAATGGTTATAAGACAACAGGATCACAAAGAACATTGTGTGAGGAGCATGTTCTGCAATTTCCAATTTCAGATTCACTTATAAATACATGCATGACAAATATTAAAGAACTTGTTCACGACCTTCGGGAGACCAAATTGAATTATGCAGTAGCATTGAGCTCATCTTGAAAAGTACAGCAATTAACTGGAAAAAATGTAAAGACATGCAGCTAAATGGCTTCCAGAACTGAGAACCAAGAACTACTAGGAGAGGCTACCAATTAATTGGCTACTGGGGTTCAAGGTTCCCCGTGGCCCGGTCCCCAACCAGGCCTCCTGGTTGCTGGACTGGTCAACCAGTCCGTGTCCCAGCTGTTGGATACGGCTGCTCGCAGCCTGACATACGAATCAAAGCCTGGTTGATCAGGGATCCTTTGGGGGTGTTTATCTAGTTCTTTCTTGAACACTGCGAGGGGTAGGCCCATTAAACCCCTTATGTGTAGTGGAAGAGTGTTGAACAGTCTCGGGCCTTTGATGTTGATAGAGTTCTCTCTCAGAATACTTTTTGCACATCTGCTTTTCAATGGGGGTATTCTGCACATCCAGCCATGCCTTCTGGTCTCGTGTGATATTTCTGTGTGCAGATCTGGAATCAGCTCTAATATTTTTCATGTATAAATTAGTATGTATCTTTTCTGCCTGTGCCCTAGAGAATACAGATTTAGGCATTTTTAGTCAGTCTCTGTAATTTAGATGGTTTATCGAGAGAATTCTGGCAGTGAAGGATCTCTGCATGCTCTCCAGGTCAGCAATTTTCCAGCTTTAAACGGGGCTGTTATTGTGCAACAGTATTCCACTCTAGAAAGCACTAGCACCTAGAAAAGTATCATCATTGGTACAGCATCTCTTGTTTGAAAGGTTCTGTCATTTTTCTTGCAATTGTGACTGCTACTTTATTGTGTTCTTTATAAGTAAGATCTTCTGACATGATTACTCCCCAATTCTTTATATTCCTTTTATGTTCTATGGTATGATTTGACTGCATTTTGTACATGGTTTCCGTTTTGATATTTTTTATTTTCCATAGCGAAAAACTTGGAACTTATCTTCATTAAATACCATATTTTCTGTGGCCCATTTATTTACATCAGGGTATAGGTTAAATATACCAAAGCTAGAAGACAGAAAAGAGGTGATATGGTCACTACCTACAAAATTGTAACAGGAATCAATAAAATTGACAGGAATTCTTGAAACTTGCCATACAACTTCAAGAACACGAGCTCACAGACTTAAGCTAAGAAAACAAAGGTGATGGAAAAAATATTAGAAGTTCTCTTTTGCAAACTGTGGTAGATGGTTGGAACATGTTAGGTGGTGGTGGATGCCAAAACCATCAGTAGTTTCAGAGCTTCAAAGTACTAGGATGACTGGACACCATGAGCATAGCTCTCATCCTGCAATTAAACTTAGGTCATTTCTAGACTGACACTATTGTAAGGAGACTTCAGATTTTCCTGTTCCTTTCATACAACTGTCACATATGAAGGAGTTTTTTGGAGTGTGCGCATAAGAGAGTATCCAATGGAAAAGTATTCAATGTTGCAAAAAGCTGCAACATACCATAAATTACATTATCATTCTTTCCTCTTTAAATATTAACCAAGCTACAACAAAAGTCTACATGTGAGACTTTACACAGGTTACTTAGGTTTAAGGAATTCATCTTTACAATACTGTAGTGAAAATAAGGACAGCGAAAGCCAATGTAAAATAATGTCAAGTCAGGGGCTATTACCAGTTAATAAAGAATGCAAATATTGGTTTAAAACTCTAACCTTCTCTGGCACAGCAGCAACAAGGGAGATAGCTAGACCCATTCTCTCTGCTCTACCCACACGCCCAATACGATGAACATAGTTGCTCTTCTCATCTGGCAGTGTCACATTGACTATAAATGGCAGTCCTCCAACATCTGCAGCAAACATTTGGATGTTTTAACAATATCCTCATATCCTCAGGCATCTTTTAAAATATAGAGAATTTCCCCAAGAGAAAACCAATGCATGCAACGAAAAGAACTTACCAATTCCTCGAGCAGCTACATCAGTGCATATAAGGAACTTCAGTCCACCATCCTTAAATTTTTGGAGATTCGCTTTGCGTTCATTAGGCTTGCGGTCACCATGGAGACACACACGAATATGGATTGCCTCTGTTATTGGCCCCTCCTCCTGTTAAAAGTTTTGGGGCAGTCAGGGTTTAGTTTAGCACAATGATAAAGGATGACAAATGTTCCTATAAATCAACTACAGTATTTTAATTAAATGAAGCACTAATCTCATACCACTCTATGGGCTCCATAGGCTCAATTTTAATTATACTATATTTCATGAGACTATGTATTATGAGGAATATTTAACCTCACTAATCAACCAAGGTCATTTCATCAGCAGTATACATCAACAAGGACCAATTTTATGTATAGCCTAAGATTTTAAACTCCAGCAGGTAGAGGGGCTTGCATCTGCTTCCTCACACCACAAGTAACCAGATGCCATCTTGGGGAAAAATCATGGGCACTCCTGGCTGTGAGGGGCTCAGTAGTGAAAGAGACCATGAATGGTACATACAGTGGTAGTTCACAACACCACCATGAAGCTTGTGCCTACAGCATCACTTAATAACATCGAAATAACTTAATTTAACAATGATCGTGTTATATAGATAGATCCTTTACATATAGATGACATTTACAGTAAGAGACACAGCCACAGGTTAGTGCACCTATGCATCAGTAATGGGACCTCATGCTCCTTTAGAAAAAGAACATGTGAAAAATTATTCATATTCAGGATTTGTTGACCAGGTTTTTCATAAGAGCACTGTTTTGGCTAGTGCTGTAGTGCATCAGGTGGCACTTTGCTTCGTCATGTGCCAGCAGCAAATGAGCATGTGGGACTATGCTGTGGTTGTATCTACATTAAAAGAATATCATCCACTGGAACTGCTTAGTGGTTCATAATATTGCATTAAAATGTAGGTATACACACATAATGTGTATATACATTGTAATAACTGTACAAATAATACATATTAGTGTTCAAAGAATATAATAGTGTGCATATTAGTAACAAATACATGTGTATTTGTATTTATTATACATGGGTATGTGCAAGATACCCATGTATCTTGCCTTACGGCTACCGTGTGTTGGTTCCCAGGATTAAAGTCCTTGCGGGCTTGGTCTCCGAACAGGACTCTTGGTTGGTGGTCTGATCAACCAGACTGTTAGATGCAGCTGCTTGCAGCCTGACATACAAATCACAACCTGGTTGATTAGGTATCCTTTGGAAGTGTTTATCATTATGACCTCTTATGGTGTTCTTTTGAATACCACAAGAGGTCATAATGTGTTACCATTCTTGATGAATATGGAATTCCAGAAATCATGGCCTGGCACAGAGTGCACGAACTGTCTATGGCTACTTCAAAGTCCAGAGGTTAATTTCACTCATGTCATTGATGTCATCTGTGAAAGTTCCATCTCTCTTGCACAGGGGTCCCAATACTAGATGTACAATAGTACATTCTGTATACATTCATTCTGAGCAATAATTCAGTAGTAGTTTGCAGTTTATAAATAATAAAATAATACTAACAGCCCAATGCATCATTGCCCTTGAAAACCTATGGTAAAAGCATTCAAAATATGAATAAAATGTATTATGTTCAATGCGTGCTGTTACAACTTCATGTAAAATATGCAGGGCTAAGCTGAATTTGGATCACTGGTTACTAGATTACCACGCCCGGAAAGGGAGCCGATCGGCCGAGCGGACAGCACGCTGGACTTGTGATCCCGTGGTCCCGGGTTCAATCCCGGGCGCCGGCGAGAAACAATGGGCAGTGTTTCTTTCACCCTATGCCCCTGTTACCTAGCAGTAAAATAGGTACCTGGGTGTTAGTCAGCTATCACGGGCTGCTTCCTGGGGGTGGAGGCCTGGTCGAGGACCGGGCCGCGTGGACACTAAAAAGCCCCGAAATCATCTCTAAGATAACCTACCAGAACTGATTAGTGGATCATATTAGTGTATGTAGATATACTGTACATAGAATGTGTATGCAATGCGATAATAGTAAAAACCAGCACATTTTATTGTTCATAGAATATAATACTGTGTGTGTATATTAGTGATACAAATGTGTATTTATATTCTGCATGTTTTATTATAGAAATTTCTTAAGTTAAACACTGTTGCATAATATAGCTGCAAAATACCAGTGAATAAAATCAGTAACACTAAAATAATGTAAATGTATTTTTGGCAACTCATGTCACCCAGGGAACCTTTATGCCTGGTAATCTCATCCACCAATGTCTCCAAATTGTGCCCGAGATATTTCTTCTTTCGACCACAGCCAAAGTAAACTAAATGTTAATTATTATTTTTCAGTGATTATTTTAACATTAAAGAACTTTTTTTTCACACCATGGAGTTGTTACTAGTATAAGTAACAGGCACACAGTGTAGGGGTTTAATCTATTTAAAGATTTACAAATTCAAGACACCTACCAATTTGATTAAAATAGCGCTCTAAATTGTCACAATCCAACTTAGTGCGGCAGAATATTAGTGCTTGATCCATTTTGTGTGTCAATAGCCTTAATACAATCAAGCAGAATTTCAACATTTTTCTACATATTTCTGGAATAAATAATTTAAATTGACTTAAATAGTGCATTGCAAGTGCATCGTTAGGTGCAATGCACTTGCACCATCCACACACAGGATTCTTAAGTTCAGTGTCTAATATCAGACAAGCTTGCTCCACTACCACTATGTTCCACTTTCACGAGGTTGGAAGGCATCAACACCAAGAAAACATGGAGGCGTATATGAAGAGATAAAACTTGTTACACATATTACACAATAAATTAACCATACTTTTCACAAAACACAATCACAGAACATGAATGACCACACACACCAGTAAATCAATAGCAGCAATGATCCACAGTAGTGCTTAAGTAGGTATACAGAGCTCCTTGTGAGATGCCAATTACTGCAGAAAAACAACAACACAAACTTCCTCTTCACAGGAAGATGATGGGATGATATGCAACCCGTCCTCTTAAAAATAACGTCACTTTTCGCTCGTATACGCGCTATGGCCAAAAGTGGACGTAATTTGAAATGAAATTAACTCACAAAAGTGACGTACTGTCCTGTTTTCTGTTTGAGTCGTCCGGCTTACTCGGTAAGGTTAGAAGAGGAGACTTTCAATTAACGTTTTTCATAACGTTTTGAAACTTTATGAGAATTTCCTGCCCACCTAACCTACCAGAGGACCCTTAACTTACTGTTGTTGAAAAAAAAAAAAAAGAAATCCCAAATTTTCATTTTTTTTTTTTCATTTTCATATAACTGTACGTCCACTTTCGGCCATACGGGCAAACGGCCAAAAGCGACATTTTTAAGAGGACAGGTTGTGAAATGAGGGAAGAGAGGGAAGGAAGTAGCTGCACTGATGCCTTAAAGTCCTCAAGTGAAATCTGCATGGAAAATTGGTAATGATGCTGCTCCTCTGTGAAAGGTTCTCAAACAAAATTAAGTTTCTATAGCTCTTAATGACAGCTTTAAAGCAGGTGGATGAAATGTAACATGCCAGAGTTTTGTCATCATCATCCTACAGGCTCACCATAGCCCGTGCTGCTTGGGACTTTTTGTTCCAAGTAGCGAATCTTGAACATCAACATCATCATCCATACTTGGGTGAAACATATGGAGTTGTAGCAGTGTGCGAGGGCTGAGATATTGTGCAGCTGAAAGCTTTACTGTGAATAGTAGAAGACTTGAAAATGAGTAAACTGAAGCAAACTGTAGTAGAAAGGATGACGAGTGTGGGATGTAGGAAGTACAGTACTAGAATCTGTCGTTTAAATATTTGATGCATGTAATTGGAAAAAAGTTTTATGCAAATAAGATTGAGCAAAGACAGAACTGAGGGAAGGAAATTGACTGGTGGAATGTAAACCGTGCCTATAGTAAAAGCAACATACTAAATATTGTACTATATTTACTATGATATTATCTTTTCTTCTATTTCTTTCAGGCAACACATTTTCAGCAGTCTTCCAACATGAATAGTAAAGCTTTAAACTACTGAATCTCTCACCTTCACCACTTCTGCAATTACATTCATAAAGTCTGATACACAAATTCCTAACATGCACTTATGATTCAATCTACAGTATTTCCACATTGAAAAAGAGAGCATTAAGTAACTTTGAAGTATTAAAGACACAATGTCATATTATATATAGAAAATATGTATACCTAACCATTAATAAAATGTCACCCTTGTACAAAATATTCTTTATGGAAACTAATTGATACATTAGACAACATTCTTTCCACTCCATATATGCTTGGAACACACTAGTCATGCTATTCACTTTGTTAATTTTCACTTTATTATTATATAGTATACCATAATCTAAGATAATTCATAATCCTTAGTCTTAAGACATTGCACCGTTGAGAAGGCACAATTTTCCTTAGCAAACAAGTGTTACCAAATAAGGGTTCAGAAACTTACTGCCATGCGCTTCACTTCAAAGGAATGTAGGGTGGCAGAACAGACCACCATCTGGAGTCTCTTGCCTTCAGATGTGATTTTGGGTATGGAGTTGTAGATGTTATTGATGAGACGCTCATGCCCCTGCAATACCAGTACACTTGTATACAAGATAAAGTAATTACATGAAACAAAATATGGCAAGAAATTTAATGCAATAAATGAAAGTCAACAAAATACAGTAATGCATCAAGTTGCCTTATAAATAAATCAGCTGTATATTTAAAGTCATTTAAAAAATATGACCAACCTTTCCAGGATGAAATCTATAAAAGTTGCCCAACTCTCAAGTGCCCATTTACTGATAGCCAAAGACGCACATTAAGGAAATGTGTAAATGTTCCACGAGTAGTTGACTTAATACAAGAAATCGGGTAGTCAAGAGTTCTTAGTTTTTTTTCTAATTCATAAGGCAAGCTGATGATACAGTACTTGAATTTATATCAGGTATTCCTACATATTTACTACCAAAATATAAAAAGTACTTTTCCTTGGATAAAATCAAACTTACCTGTTTAAGAAGTCCATCAGCCTCATCCAACACAAAGAATTTGCAAGACTGGAGAGAGAGTTGTCCTGTATTAATAAGATCTTCCAAGCGTCCTGGAGTACCGCAAACAATATCCACACCTGCATTGAGTGCTGCTATTTGCTCCTTCACGGGTATACCACCACCAACAAGGTCACGAACCACTGGATTATCTAGATGCTTACGAAACATTTGAACCTGTTTTAGGGTCTGTTTTGCGAGTTCTCTTGAAGGCTGTTAAATGATAAAAACTTTTGTTTGCATTAAAAAAAAAATGGTCTGCTTTTGGAACTTGCCACTTCTATCTAAACTGTTTAACAATTCACATAGCACAACATACTACTTTTAGTTTGAATCTTCATATTGTATGTATCCAGGATTTAATGAACAGGTTAGTTTAAAAGCAACAGTGATGTAAAAATGAATCTGTACCGAACTGTATAGGTTATATTGTTAGACATCCATCCAGCAATCAATATAAACCAGATACTGGACAAGTAAATACAGACCAGTCACGTGTTACCATTCTTTCCTCAATAATGACAGCGTGTGGAGCATTGTTCTGAAGCTTTTGTGGCTTGTCTCCACCTCCCTTCACACCTGAGCTCACAGTACAGTCCTTGCTGGCCTGAGAGACTGCTACATATCCTGCTTTAGGTGGGTGCTTGAACTCTGTTGCACCAAAATTGAAAGACATCTCTGCATTCTGGAAATCACATAAATTGCTATCATCTGTAACTTTCAAATATCATTAAATTCACTGAAGTTATTCTTGCACTTTATTGAAATTAGAGAGATTTGAGTAAAGAACCAACAGTTAAAAACCGATAGAAAATTCAATAAGAAATTTACTTATTTGTATTAATTTTCTTAATGACCTAGATCATAAATATGATCCAAATTTTGGAGGTGTCACTGTATATATACATGACCACTATACACTTTTGAAATACACCAAGTCCAAATACTGTGACAAATGCATAACAAACCAACAAAAAGAAAAAACTGGGCAAATTTCAGTCTGCCTTAGACCATATCTATAATTAATTAATATCATCATCCAATTATCCACCACTGCTTAAAATACACAACTAACATGAATAATGCATGTACTATACTACCAACCTTCAAAACTACAGCTGGATGGAAGACAGCATTCTTGAATTCACTTCGTAATGTGAAAGCTTTACCTAAATCAGTGCCATTTTTGCTGTAATGCATCTCCATGGCATCCAGGTTGAGATAGCAACCAATGACATCCCTGAGGCCAAAAGATTCACCATAATCGTCAAACTGCTTGCAATTAGACTTTTTTCCAGTGCCTCCAAATCCAAATCCCGATTTACATGTTCCAAGATCTAATGCTGCCTGAAAATATAAGTTGTTTTGGTTGTGAATATAAAAAATATTATTGCATAAAGGCAATTGATAAAATATAACATCTCCCAATGCAGGTGAAAATACAGTACAAACTACAGCAAGCCTTTGCTTCTTGAAGTTTTGAAAGCATTAAATTCGCCTAACATGAGGTAGGTACTTTATTACAAATACGCAAGTAATGGTTTACTCAGCACAAATTAACGTTTTAAATTGTTTTACCAACTTTCTGCATTAAATTCTTGCATAATTATCTTTTCCAAATGGACTTCAATGCCTGTTCCTTCCACTCCCCCTTCAAAAAAAATAAAAATAAAATATTTACTCACTTTCATTACCATTTTGGAAACAATGGCTGTTTCCAGGATGGAGGTGTCAAACAGTTGGGCTTAACTTTACCAGTGTTCTCTTTGGCGTGTAACCATGTTTAATAAATGATATTCAATAGACCAAAATCAAGTCATTTTCCAACCCGTTCTCGCACTTCCTTAAGTCAATATTGACTTATTAAATACGTGCATATGTGACATACTAATTTATTGTGAATATTTTAGTTTACCTTGAAAAGCTTCATAGAAAACACCAACCTTACCTAACCTTCTTAGTATGTTAAGATAAGCATCTTATTGCTTCGTAATTACAAGTCATTTTCTGATATGCAGAGTGCAGCTGCATTTCCCTCAACTATGCCTCGATTCGTCTGACTTCATCAAATATTTGTACATCATCATCAATTGATGTGCTAGTCGATGCATTCAAATATGGTGCCGACTTTCCTGGCAGTTGTGTTGATTTCAAGGATTGAATTTGTTGGTTAATATGGAGAGTTTGGGGCAAATGCTGCCTGGAAGTTTTGTATGGAGAGGCTTGCAGCTATTATAACAGTTTACAATCTTAAACTTGTTTTCATGAAATTTGCTTATGTAAAGCAAGGGCTTACTGTATTATTATTGTTATTATTATTATTACATGAAGATGAAAATACACATGAAAAAATGCAATCTCTAGAACAAAAGGAGTTGTATATAAGTAAATAAGGTTGATTATGATATGACTACTTGTGAAAACTTCACTACAAAATCATACCTACCATAGTACCAGTTCTGAAGCAATTCTATGAATACCATTTTGAAAGATTAATGCAGAAAACTGGCCCTTAGGTTATGTTTTTGGGAAAATATGCACAAGATTTGATCCAAGAAGTCGCTAGAGAACTACACTGCCCCATTTAAATTTAAACTCTTTACACCATAGTAACTTGTGTAATATCAAGTTGATAGGTAATGGCATTAATAAGATATTCAGCCCATTCACCTGTTTTAATAGTACTTATAGGAAGGATGAGGATGATTATACATGTACATATGGGCCAATAGGCTTTCTGCAGTTACCTTCATTCTTATATACCGATGTACAACACAATTAGAAAGTAGAAATTGATATGTTTTCTATTTTCTAATAGTATTTATGATAAATACTATTGAATTTTCACAAACCGAACACCATTTTCTACTTGTGCTGCAAAGACAAACTATCCTAACCTAACCTTCCTAGGACAAATCCGCTATTCAAGGCATAATATAGTATATATGCTCGCTATACTAGGCCTAGGAATATTTAAGTTTGTTTTTTAGCTAAATTTTTTATCTATAAAGTGAATAGTACAAAGTTCTACTATCTAATTGCTTATTATGTCAATGCCTTACAGCAAAAATTTGTACTATGGTGCAGTCACAAAAACTACTATCTAAACAGGATGGGTTGGATATGGAACAGAAACCATTTAAAAATATATAATATAATCCAGTAAAAGTCATAACTAGGTATTCACACTGGGAATACAGTATAGTACAGTATTACCATTTCTACTGAACTATAAAATGTTCAGCAGCAGCTAAAAGAAATTGGAGGAACAAAGGTGCCAGCAATACTGCCTACCTGAGGAGTTGCCCACCCGACACGACACAACCCTTCATCCGACACAACGGCTTCATAGTAATATTTTCCCTTGCCAGTGACACCCTTGGTGCAACGGGCACCCTGCCATGTTTTAGGATCCCGTGACTGGCACCGCAAGCCATCAGGTGTCACAGCCATTCCTGCGTCACGGTCAAAGAAGCTCATCAACCAGAGAGGAGCTATTTTGCAAAAAGAAAAAAGAAAAGAATAATAACAGTATAATATTAGAGTAACAACATTTATAATAATACTATTTATATTAATACTACAGTGGTACCTCGGAATGCGAGTGTCCCTGTATGCGAGTTTTTCGGAAGACGAGCAGGATTTACTCCAAAAATATGTCTCGGAAGGCGAGGGTTACCTCGGGACGCGAGTTTGTTGATACGTGTACAGGCCGACTGGCGCGTGGTGGCATGGCGATCGCGCCTCAGTTTACCAGTGTCTCGTGTCCAGTGACTATCCCACATGAATTCTTCACAAGGATTTACAGTTTTTTATCGTTTTTTTAGCCATTTGAGCATAAAAGTTGTCATTATATATCTTGCCATGGGTCTCAAGAAAGCCATTGGTAAGGTTCAACCTAAGAAAATAGCTGTGAGTAGAGGCAGTAGAGGATGTCCCTTCTTGATTAAGAAAATGTGTGAAGTATGGGAAGAACTGCAAAGTTTTGTTGAAAAAACTCACCCAGATAAAGCTGTAGCAGGCCGTTGCATTGACCTTTTAAATGATAATGTGATGTCTTACTACAGACAAGTGTTAAAATGTAGGGAAAAACAAGTGTCATTAGACAAATTCTTAGTAAAACAAGCAAGTCCTAGTGGTATGCAGGCAAAATGTGCCAGAGTGTGCATACCAGTGAAGTCCTCACTGCCTGATGTGATAATGGAAGGGGACTCCCCTTCCAAACAGTAACTCCTCTCTTCCTCCCACCTCCTCACCATCTTCCATACGCCTACAGCATTCAACAGCAAGGTAAGTAATAACTTGAACATAGTTTTGTAGGTTTATTTAGATGAATTAGGCATAAAAATTTAGTTTGATGTGGGGTTTTTGGGGTAGTCAGGAACGGATTAATTCATTTCCCTTTATTTCTTATGGGGAAATTAGCTTCGGAATGCGAGTTTTCGGAATATGAGGCGTCTCCAGGAACCAATTAAACTCTTAAACTGAGGTATGCCTGTATTTATATTAAAATTTATATACAGTACTAGTATATGCATATTTATATTTATGTATACTAAAAGCATTTATAATAATAATTTTCAGATATCAAGTACAGTACTGCAATAAACAGGCACAAGAGCTATGGACACTTGCATATTTCTTTAGTAACTTTTGAAGTCTTGCTAAGCTGAATATCCTTAAGTGATTCCCAGACAATTTGTAGGATGGGAAGACAGAAAGCACCAGTCTTGCCACTGCCTGTTTCAGCTGCCATGAGCACATCCCCACCTCCCAAAATAAGTGGGACTGCCTCATTCTGGACATCCGTTGGCAACCTAAGAATGAATGTTACAATAGATAATGAGTTTATTATTTTGCAAGCTTTGGGCTAACATTTCCTGTGTCCACCTAGATGATTACAATCTTTTATACTTAATCATTTCTAAAATTACAAATTAATTAATGAATGTAATTAAATGTTTGTGTTAGTTCTAGATATACCTGAAGAGTCTATAATTTACCCTTAAAAATTTGCAAACATTTAAAATCCAAAAACTTATAATCCGGCTTGAATTATGACGAAAAGCGAATCAGACCAAAAATCATTCAGTTCAGTGAAGATGCGGTTGATCTACCAGAAACCTCCTGCTCAGAAATTAGCGAAGTAATGAGCAGAATAAAGTACCACATGACAGACTGGCGAGGAAATTACAAGCACATGCAATAAATAGTAGAATACTGTACTAGGACGAATAAAACATTGGTTAAAACACAGTTAGGGTCATCCTTAATAGAAATGATTTCAACTGGAGAAATCTTGAGTACACTGTACTGCAGGGTTCCATATTGGGGCCAACCCTTTTTGTCAAATACATCTATGACAAATGAGAATACAGTATTACAAACCACATTATCAAATTTGCACATGACCAAGAACTATGGTGAAGTGGGAAGTAAAAATTATAATTGAATTAAATGGAGAAAAGAAAAAGATTAAATGAAATCCAAAAATGGTTGGAAGACTGTCAAATACTTTTTAATATTGAAAAATGCAAGACTTGCATGCGAGGCATAATGCACATCACAACTACAAAATCAACATTATTTTGCAGCAGATTGATGAAGAAAATGACAGAGTCAGAGCCCACTGATCATTGAAAGTTGCACAAGTGGGAACTCCAGTATTAAACTTCTCCAAGTTTTGTGCCAGAAGATGTACACATTGCTACCGACAGATTGAGCTGCATAGACTACTGTACACTACACAAGTTTGGTTACATAGCGGGTACAGGAAGACTTGCAAAATTTATACCCAAGTACCATGTTTACAAGCATGCAAAAAGACGATTAGTGAAAGTCAGCATGTACCTGGTGCACAGAATGCAAAAGTTACCATGTGTACTACTGTATTGAGTGCTTCAATGAATTTACTCATGAAGTACTGAGAGAGTATTATGGTGTAAGTACATTGTACATTGTACATTGTCTCACATTATTTCAGAGTACGTGAGACAGTAAATATTAGTGAAAATTTAACATGTAATATTGACCACTTTTTTGTGGACACATTAGTGACACTTATTATCATTATTAAAACATTACACATGTTCTACTGTGTACACGAAAACATAAATAATAGTATTATTCGATAAAAATCACAAGAAAAGTATCTGTGGCAACTCGCGGGTCTTGAATCACCCAAGAGATCAGCTTCGAGTCACTCCTGCACATGTGCTCAACATCTTGTGATGACATTGTGACAAATTAGATTTTGTAATTGTTTTTCCATTTACATGATCAGGGAGGCAATTTTAACATTAAAAAAAAAATTGGGTATAATTTTTGTTGTGCACCATGAAGTTATCATATTAAACAGCTGCACAGTACATGGGCTCATTTCTTAGACAAGTATGTATAATACAAGTATGTTTAGGGCAAGTATTCACAAATGAAAACATTAAAAATAAAGTTAATATTGCAACCATACTAGTTTTCCATGCAATACAATTTACTTTAAATCTCTCTATAGTATTTACAGGGAATATACAGTGCATAATCATATCATACCATACCCAATGAAGAGCAAATAAAACTACTAGTCCATTTCAATTATTATTTACCAACTATATTTACTCCAGTACAGTATTTGAAACACTTTATTGAGTACAGCGTTACATAATGTACAAGAGAATCAGCAAACTTACGTCCAATCCATCTCTTCTACAGCCTTAGCTATTTCTGGGAGTACACCCATTTCTGAAAAATGAATATTATATAAATTTCATAAGCCAAAGTAATTGGTTAGTAACAAAACTTTTAATTATCTTGTTTTAGACTTATGAGGAGGGGGCAGCATTAGACCAGAAGAAAAAATGCAAAACTATTGTATTGTTCTAGCAGGTTATAGGTATAAAAAAAATAAAACCACTACAATATTCCATTCATTGCATCATTCAAACTATGTAAATATAAAAAAAAGACATGCACTCATCTCTCACTCTAAGCAGTATCCAACTGCTTTTTAAGACCTGTATACAGTGCTATCTCATGAATTGTCCACCATAATCAAATACTGTACATGCACTCCATCCTTACAAACTGCTTCCACCCAGCCACTATTTCCATAACCCATTTGCTGTTCACACTCATTTCCTGCTTCCTCACTAAGTTTGCCCCACTATCATCTTGGTCCTATTCTCCTATCCTGTCAGGGCACCTGACAGCTGGGTGGACAGCGCTTCCGATTCGTAGTCCTCAGGCTCCGGGTTCTATCCCCGGTGGAGATGGACACAAATGGGAAAAATGTTTCTTTCACCCTGATGCCCCTATTACCTAGCAGTAAATAGGTACCTGGGAGTTAGACAGCTGCTACGGGCTGCTTCCTGGGGGTATGTAACAAAAAGGGGATGATAAGCCCCGAAATCATCTCAAGATGACCTCAAGATAACCCAACATCTCAAGACCTCAAATTCACACCAACACACACTTGCTTATCTATTATCTACTACTGTATTTATTTTTTTACTTGCTACTATTATCCATTCATTCAACACGCCCAAACCCACCTCGGTACATACTCTGGGATCCTTTGCTCCATCAGCTTTTCCATATTTTTTTTTTTTTTTTTGAGAAATACACGAGAGTTGTTACATTCTTGTACAGCCACTAGTACGCGTAGTGTTTCGGGCAGGTCCCTGGAATACGATCCCCACAAAGAATCGTTTTTACAACCAAGTACACATTTTACTGTTGCGTTAAACAGAGGCTACAGTTAAGGATTTGCGCCCAGTAAATCCTCCCCGGCCAGGATACGAACCCATGACAAAGCGCTCGCGGAACGCCAGGCGAGTGTCTTACCACTACACCACGGAGACTGTAAATTTTAATTAAATATAAGCTGTACAGATTAATACAAACAAAATTATCAAACAAATTCACCTCGGTCCGATTAAGACCCTTTATTTAACTCTGCATCTATGTATGTACTTTTCCTAAATAAAATATTATTATTATAACCGATAACTATATACAAGGATGATCGTTATTTAATATTAATGAGCTATATAATTCCTGTAACTACTAAAATATAATATCTTTACTATTTATTTATGTTAAGCTTGCACTTATTCTTAAGTAAGCACTGCACCGTCTTTAATATGGCTCGCGTTTTGTGGGCCACAACTTCCTGTTTTCTTCGATTGTTTTCCTGCTAGTTTAGGGTTGTTAGTGGCATTTTGACAGGGGGGGGGGGCGGGAGGAGGTCACTCCGGAAAAGATAGTGGGTCAGGGCGTCCTCCAAGACGCCTCCTAGGTAAACCAGTACATGTGACCAAATGTAAACTATTACAAGAACTAATAATTCGCATACCGTGTTACTCTGCAATTTATTATGAACAAAACTAACAAATCATAGCCGATTCTATTAGAAATGTGTGTTTATCAAAAGAAGGCACCAAGCCGGAATGACTATAGCACTAAGACATGTATACGTATTTAAATACAAATTTTATACTACCAGAAATCCTGGCTAGGTATCCCAAATTTGCTTACATGTACTGTATAAGCAAATTTTGGATACTTTGGTTATACAATCCTGTGCAAATATGCATATGATTGTATAACCCTTCCACTGCCGCATTGCACTGTATGATTAACAAATTGAGGTGTACATATAACTGCCTCACCACAGATGTAACTGCTCACCTTACACACTGAATGATAATCCTCAAGTTCTTGAACCACTTGTACTATAAACGACTACTGATACATGCATTAAAATGTGTAACTATCTTATGAGAATAGTAATTTGCACAGCTAAATATAAATTTTGGGGGCTCGATTTCTGAGGCTATTGTGTGCCTCAAACGTTTTTGCAATATTGCCAACAGGATGGGTACATGGGGTACATAATAAATTAACAAAATCAATGACATGTCTTAATTAAAACACACTTACGTAAGCTCCCACAAACGATAGTTTAAACGTGTGCGTGAAAATACACCAGCTCGGCGTTTTCAATGGATATTCAACACCCATGAACGTATCATTTAAGACAAAGCAAATTACTTTAACAATATACGGACAAATATTAAAACGTCACACCTTTCTAAATAAATTTAAATATCTTTTCGAGTACTAGAATACAGTGGTAATAATTATTACGACAATATAGACAAATGTAATTATAAACATAGGTCTAATGACACCTCCATAACGAGGCTTGGCTTGTTAACAATTCTCCATAAACGAGGCGAGCCAACAAGGCGGCGCACCTCACTGCCACGTGCAGACCACTCGTGGATACTCTCCAAGCACCACACCACCACTTTGAGCTCCCTAACTGTTGGTAAGTACCAGCGACTGTGTCGGAGGGTGGTGGTTTAAGTTTCAGACACTGGGAACATAAAGTTCCAAGTAGTACGGGCTATGTTGAGCCCATAAGCGAGTAGTGGACTTACCTGGCACAGGAGCGGGTCTGTAAACTGTGTTGTTTGACTGCTGTATCTTTACAATTACATGTGTGTCTGAGGGGCCGGCCAGTGTGTATATATATATTAGGCTTTATCAAGTAGCCCCCAATCAAGCTGACGCCTTTCTAGGTGCTTATTTACTGCTAGAAAAACGGCTCAATTAGGTGATCGGAAACGCAGGCTAACATTTATGTCCAGGCCGGGATTGGAACTAGGGAGCCGAGAACGAACCCGACTGTACTAGAGACCCAAAAATATTTAAATAAGCTACATAAATGTCAAAGGGCAACTTGTCATCTTACAAAGAAAGTCTTATTTCAATCGTATGCGTTACTAAAGCGCAAATTGTCTTTCTAGTAAATGGAAGCGGCTCGCGAAAATTACGTTATGTCCCGTTTTCTGCTGTGGGTCCTCTGGTAGGTTAGGAGAAGATAGTTTAAATTGAGTTTTCTTGACGTTGGGACACCTTAGAAGGACGGGCTCCACGGACATTACGAAAAGTATTGCGCTAACCCGGCTACTTTGTCCTCGTGACGGCTCTTTCCCCCGGATGCAACCACACAACCCAAACTAATACTGTACTGGGCGTCAATTTATTGGTAGATGAACAGGTGCATTTAGGGGGAGGGGGGGATTGAGACAGTGTCAGTCATTTGTCCCGACTGGGATTCGAACCCGGACTTATAGACGGTGAGTGTAGAACTAACTAGACTGCACTTCGGAACCCTTTAAAATAGTTTGGGGGCTAGTCTAGACACGGTTGTTTCAGAGAATAGTTATACTCCTAGATTGCCCATAATAAACTAGGATTGTGAAAGTTTGTTTGTGCGTCTCTGCCGTTTTCCCGAAACTACTACGTTCTTGATGTAGAGGTACAAAGTCCCTACAGGTAGGTGAGATGCTAGACCTAGTTAATAAACTGCTTACTAGGAAGAATAGTTATAAGCAAATTATCAAAAGCCTATTTATGTTCACAGGGACAGTTACCTCACACGAATAGCATGGCTCACAATATAAGCTAATTTTTTTTTTTTTTTTTTTAGTATGGGGTTAGTTGGAGAATGTCGTCATATGCGTAATGGCTCTGGCAATGAACGGCCAACATTTGGTTAATTAAGTTTAGTGTACATTAACTAATGGGCGTTTGGTACCCTATTTCGCCTTATTCTACTTTTCTTATTTATGCTTTATTCTCTCCATTTGTATACCCCCTATATAACCCATTGTTCCATAAATTTTTCACCTGCCAACCCCCCCCCCCCCCCCATGGTAAAAATACAATACGCCTCACCGTCACACTACTTGGGAATGAACCATGTAGGTTAGAAACGTTGTATAATTTTATAATAAGTGTAATACCTTCTACAGTTTTCATCACCTCGAACGAACATAACTTTTGGTGAACTCTTCCAATTAAACCCAGATACAAGAGCACTTGTCAAAGGATAGAAGCTAAAAAAGACTATACAGAATATGCAGTCATATTCAATGAAATAAATGAAAACCTGCTGCCAGTTTACACCAATTAATTAATAGGTATATACATGATTTTTTATAAATTGAAAAATATTTACTTTTGTTTTTATAATAACTTAAATTAAAATCGGTTAAGATACTTTAGGGGAAGTAGAATTTGTCTAAAATGAAAGGTGAACATGTGTAAAGACAAGTTTAAGATTCTAACTTGCACATAAATAATTTGATACTCTGTTTTCGTAAATAGGTAAAGGGCTATAACATCGGCTTGTGTGTAAAAGAAACCATACAATACCTGGGTATTGACAACTTCAGCCATGAGGAAGCATCTCTAAGGAGGTTTGTAATGCAGTATTGTTTCGCAACATTTAATTTTATAGATAGCCATTAAACCATGGATATTAATTGACGTGTAAAAATTTTAAGTCGAATATATACAGTAATTTGTGAAAGATAATTTAATTCGTAGCCTAACAGCTCCTTCAAACTTCTTGAATATTAATCTTTTATTGTTTCCCCAGCAAACACACCGGCATGGACACATTAACCTCCCACCACGACGCTACTTTAGTAGTCAGAATCATGTCGGGAAAAATCTGCACGAATGTCGTCGGCTTAACAGTCGGCCATAAAGGCCCCTAATTCCCAGCTCATGATGCATTTAACAAAGCTAGTAACAAGAATCGACACGGCTACTGCAACAAACTTTGGTCTTGAATGGTGACCTAACGCTGGAAGTACACCAATTTCACCAGGACCACGACTTGCACTACCACCCACAAACGCCGTCGTAACTACAATGGAGAGCACACACAGATTTCATCTGAATACCACACAGACGTAAAGTGACGCGTACACTCTCGGCTGATTAAATGGGCAACCCGTTCTCGCAAATTTAATAAGTCAATATTGACTTATTAGTTGCGTGCATAGGTGACATACTAAACATAATAGTTTCCCTTGAAAAGCTTCATAGAAAACACCGACCTTACCTAACCTACTTAGTAGGTTAAAATAAGCATCTTATAGCTTCGTAATTACAATTGTTACTTAACCTATTATAGGTATAGGTTAGGTAATAATTGTAATTACGAAGCAATAAGATGCTTACCTAACCTACTTAGTATGTTAAGATAAGGTCGGTGTTTTCTATGAAGCTTTTCAAGGGAAACTATTATGTTAAGTATGTCACCTATGCACATATTTAATAAGTCAATATTGACTTATTAAATTTGCGAGAACGGGTTGCAATGGGGCCACGTACACCCTGTTTTGTGCAAGGCAACATTCGTCCCGCTCCTGCAACCCTGGTCTCAAATTGTCATGAGCTACAATTGCACCACTGATTACTCTCCAAGTTAGTTCAGTTCATTTATTATGCACCCCATACCCATATTATGGGCGGTAGTGGAAAGGGTTAGAGGCACATAATGGGCTCAGGGATTGGACCCCACAATTCATTTGGCTAAGAAAGTTACAATCTTGATGGGCTAGTTACAAAATTTGATATAAATAGTCACATCAACAATGGGTTAGAGATAGACCACAAGTACAGTTTCTAAATTAAGCAACTGACATGTGGAGAGCTAGTGTCACAATTGATATGTTTGTCCTGCACACCGCCCCCCATCCAGTGGGCAGCGGTGGATAGGTTACAATCACTTGGTTACTACCTACAGTTAACAAACTGGGGATATTTGGTTAAAATTTCTGGTAGCAGATCATTTTGAATGAAATATTTACACATCGTTGGAACATTGGTTATAGAATTGTCTCTAAATTCACGTATCTTTTAAGAGAGGTAAACATATTCTGAAGCTACAGAATAATCACTTTAATATTGTATATACTGAATAATTTGTAATAATAAAAGGTAAAATTTATGCATGGTATAATTGCAACCTGCCTGTATATAATGCGCTCGTTTAGAAAGTTTTAAAACAGACTATTTGAATACATGACTTATTTAATAAAAAAAAAAAAACTATAAAAATCAATTAATGCACGACACAAATTTCATTAAAGCAAGATGTGAATATGCACCACGGAATACCTCTGCACACAAAAGAATGAATTACGCTGTAATTGAAATGATAAATGTTCAGGGATTCGAATCTTTATAGACGACAAATATTTCTTATTCTCTTTACACTTGTCATAACCGCCACTAAGTGTTAATTATTTTCAGATGAAACATTACAAGCTCAGATAGTAATACGGCCTTAATATATGAAAGTTATTCATAACGTTTGATACACATTTCGGGATAGGTTGCCACCAAACTTGAGCTGATGTTACCAACAGACTCACTATGCTGAAAATCCTATTATCAATAGAACGTAGTAAACACAGCATACTAACGTTTTTATAGATCTTGAGGCTGAATTATTACAACCTCGCTTGATTTGTTTGATTTTCCAAGTAGCCATTTGTTGAATATTCAAACGGGTACGTAATGTAATTAACAGATGTTTTAAGCTCGCAAAAGTTTTGAATGCTACCGACAATCACGCCCAATAACCTCCAACATTCCATGTCAAAGCCACAATGTTTTATACATAACTGCTTTACTAGTACTTCACTAACGACCATCAGTACGCAACACACCTTAACTCCCCCCCTCCTGATTATATAATTCAGCATTAGAATAAGATTGCAAAACCGTGCGATGGAACATCGGATACCGGAGGATTTTAACACGGACTCTCCAAATACCGACTTGGCAGCCTAAATATCACTTAAACTGTGAATTAGATGGCCATTCGTTGCCGTGATCACTGGACCAGCCACCTCATTTCTCAATAAACTAAATTCCGTACATATTCAATAACTTGCTCTCCTCTGGCATACTCTATTTCACAACACTAACATATGAAAGCAGCATCCCAGCTAATTCTAAGACGAATCGGTGTTCATTTCACACTGCACAAAAACTACACAACACAAATTTTTGTTGTTGACAATCTATTATCTCGCCTTAAGTTTTCGCCTCGCATAATGTTTTCTCATTTGAAAAATACATCATCTTCACTAACAATTATTACTTTTGCATATCATTTGTCCATATTAATTCCGCACGCGATGTTAGGACACAGCTCAAAATAACATGAATACAAATATGAATACCCGTATTCATAATATGAATACGGGCTCTGTTGGGGCCCGTCGAGAGGTATGAGGGTTCGTTTGGAGGCCCCCTGGGACGAGTGTGGCTCGTTTGAGGCTCCCGTGGAAGTGTGGACCTCGTTTGGAGCCCCTTTGGGTAGTGTGGGGCCTCCTGGGAGGTGTGGGGCTCTGTTGGGGTTCCCTGGGAGGTGTTTAAGCTCGATTGGGGCCTCCTGGGAGATGTGGGGTTGCTTTAGGGCCCCGTGGGAGGTGTGCGGCTCGTTTGGAGCCTCCTGGGAGGTGTAGGGCTCGTTTGGAGCCCATCTGGGTAGTGTGGGCCTTATTTGGAGCTTCCTGGGAGGTGTAGGGCTCGTTTGGAGCCCATCTAGGTAGTGTGGGCCTTATTTGGGGCCTCCTGGGAGGTGTTGGAGGCTCGTTTGGGGGCTTCCTGGGAGGTGTGGGGGTTCTGTTGGGGCCCCTGGGAGGTGGGAGGGCTCGTTTGGGGTTCCCTGGGAGGTGTGAGGATCGTTTGGAGCCCCCTGGGAGGTGTGGGGCTCGTTTGAGGCTCCCTCGGAAGTGTGGAGCTCGACTGAGGGCCCCTAGGAGGAATGGGGATCGTTTGGGGCCCATTGGGAGGTGTGGGGCTCGTTTGGAGGCCCTTTGGGAATTGTGGGGCTCGTTTGGGGCTTACCGGGAGGTGTGGGGCTCTGTTGGGGCCCCCTGAGAGGTGTGAAGACTTGTTTGGGGCCCCTTGAAAAGTGTGAAGTTCGTTTGGGTCCCTTTTGGAGGAGTGGGGCTCGTTTGGGGCCCCCCTGGGAGATGTGGAGCTCGTTTGGTGCCCCCTGGGAGGTGTGGGTCTCATTTGGGCCCCCTGGGAGGAGTAGGGCTCGTTTGGGGGCCTTCTGGGAGGAGTGGGGCTCGTTTGGAGCCCACTTGGAGGTGTGGAGCTCGTTTGGAGCCCCCTGGGAGGTGTGGGCTTCGTTTGGAGCCCATTCGGGTGGAGTGGGCCCCCTCAGGGAGCTGTGAGGGCTCGTTTGGGACCCCATTGGAGGTGTGGGGTCGTTTGGGGCCCCATTGGGGGTGTGGGGTTCGTTTGCGGCCCCCTGGGAGGTCTGGGGCTTGTTTGGAGCCCCCGGGGGTGTGTGGGGTTCGTTTGGAGCCCATCTGGGTAGTGTGGGTCTCATTTGGGGCCTCCTGGAAGGTATGAGGCTCTTTGGGGCTCCCTGGGAGGTGTGGGGCTCTGTTGGGGGCCCCCTGGGAGGTATGGGGCTCTGTTGGGGTTCCCTGGGAGGTGTGGGGCTCTGTTGGGGTTCCCTGGGAGGTGTGGGGCTCTGTTGGGGCCCCGTGGGAGGTGTGCGGCTCATTTAGAGCCTCCTGGGAGGTGTAGGGCTTCTTTGGAGCCCATCTTGGTAGAGTGGGCCTTATTTGGAGCCTCCTGGGAGGTGTTGGAGGCTCGTTTGGGGGCTTCCTGGGAGGTGTGGGGCTCTGTTGGGGCCTCTTGAGAGGTGTGAGGGCTCGTTTGGGGCCCCCCTGGGAGGTGTGGGGATCGTTAGGAGCCCCCTGGGAGGTGTGGGGGGCTCGTTTGAGGCTCCCTCGAAAGTGTGGAGCTCGATTGAAGCCCCCTAGGAGGTATGGGGATCGTTTGGGGCCAATTGGGAGGCTTGGAGCCCTCCTGGGAGGTGTGGAGATTCGTTTGAGACTCCCTTGGAAGTGTGGGGTTCGATTGAAGCCCCCCCCTGGGAGGTGTGGGGCTCGTTTGAGGCCCCCTGGGAGGAGCAAGGTGCATTTGGAGCCCCCTCCCCCTGGGAGATGTGAGCCTCGTTTGGAGCCCCTCTGGTTATTGTGGGGCCCCCTGGCAGGTATGTGGCTCTGTTGAGGCCCCCTGGCAGGTATGTGGCTCTGTTGAGGCCCCCTGGGAGGTGTGAGGGCTCGTTTGGGGCCCCCCCCCTAAAAGGTGTTGGGTTCGTTTGGGGCCCGCTGGGAGGTGTGGGGCTCATTTGGAGCTCCCCTAGGGGGTGTGGGGCTCGTTTGCGGCCCCTTGGGATGTGTGGGGTTCGTTTGGAGGCCCTCTGGGTAGTGTGGGTGCCCTGGCAGGTATGGGCCTCTGTTGGTGGCCCGCTGGGAGATGTGGGGCTCGTTTTGAGCCCCCTGGGAGGTGTAGGCCCCCCTGGGAGGTGTGGGGCTCGTTTGGAACCTATTAGTTAGAAACAGCCCTCGTAGTGATAATTGTGTCATTTATATAATACCTTGTAATGACTGTAATAAGTTCTATGTTGGGCAAACATCTAAAGATTTGAAATGTAGAATTTCGCAACATAAATACTCTGTAAGACATGGCCAATTGTCTAATGCTTTGTTTGTTCATCTGTCAGAAAATGCTCACCACTGATTGGGAGATAGCTTCTTCAATAATGAATTGTAAAAACACTTATAACAGGAACATAATTGAATCTGCTTTAATACAGATTAGAAAAGAAAGTAAT